AGTGGTACATAGGTCCACACCCGGGATCCAAACCTGAGAACCCCGGGCCACCGAAGCAGAGAGCAAGAACTTAATCACTATGTCACTGGGCTGGGCCCTTTTCCCGAGCTCTTTTCCTCAATATAGTCCTCCAATAGCTCAGCTACCAACTGTAAAATTAAAAACAGGGGGAGGGGAAGCTCATTTTGAAGCAAAAATATCTGAAACAATGCCGAGTGGCAATAGGCCTGACTCCCATTCTCCTCTGCCCTGCTTTGTTTTTCCAACTGTCTCAATTCTTCCATTCTCCATGTCTCCACTGCCACACTCAGCGTGTCCACTCACTGTGGCAGCTGGGGCTTGTTGCTTCACCCATGTAGTTGCCACAAGCTCACTCACTCCTTGTGGTTTTGATTCAGGGTTTGAATATAAACAGAACAGGGCAGCCAGGCCTGACCAATGTATTTCACCTGGGCGATACACTGCGCAGAGGTTTCCTACTCCAGCATATAAGTCAGCCTGGAGCTACACTGCCCAACTTTAGTTATCACCCTCAAAGTTCTTGGGGTAGGGCCTCTGATGACATGGTGGGTGGAGACTTTGTGGTGTGGGAGGGGCTGCAGCAAGGAAGGGGAGGAGCACGATGAGGGAGGGCTGCCCAGTGGCTGAAGTCTGGCTGATAACACTTAACCATCATTATCCCTTTCCTGCAGCCACCCCCTGGCCCAGCTGCACTAGGGGGAGCCAAGCAGAGGACAGAGGGAAGAGACACCTGCGGAAAATGGCTCAGGGCTTGGGGAGTGGCATGAGCGCCAGCCTCAGCACCTGTCACTCCCCTCTTCTTCCCCTTTATGTCCCCAGCAGCCAGGGTGACAACACGCTGTTCAGTTCCCACTCATTCAGCAGACAGGAAAGTTCATCACAAACAAAGCACTGTGCTAGGTGCTAGGAACATGGAAACAGGTCCCACATGGCCCTCGACTCTGAGGCGCTCTTGTCTAGAGGGGGAAACAGGACATTACAATTTGGTGTGAAAAGGACTATCATGAGGGAAGAACCAGGTGCGACAGGAGCACGGGAGGAGGCGCCTAAGCCAATGTTGGGAATCA